GAACTTGAGGCCAACATCTGAGTTACCTCTGCTAATGATGACAGTGTTTCAACAGGAGCTTCAGATTTCAGTTAATCACTTCAGGCCCTGAGAAAAAACTTTCTAGTCACTTTGACAGGTGTGTTCGCATGCTAATGCTCAGCCCAGGGGCACAGTTGCCATGGAAACCCATTTTTCTGCCTCATCTAGTAAAGAAGCAGTGATCCTGTCTGTCAGAGGCAAACAAGTTAAAAGGATAAGCACAGTAGGGAAGGATGAACTTCGCATGACTTCTGCATTTTCATACAGCATTGATGAACAGCCTATATGGTTCTTACTGGTTGAGTAGTGCATGAACTGGCCCTTTGAAAGTTAAATAAAAACACATGTTAAAAGTTGCTTACATTTTGTCGCTCACAGCTATATTTATTGTATTCAAACGTGACCACATTTAAAGTGCCCTTCAGTGTTTCTGAATGTTTTTGTTTTTGCTTGTGTGTTTGTTTTGGTATGAAGATCAACTCACTGAAAACCAATTTACATTGTACTGTTTACTGAAGACTTTTAATAGTCATTTTTGCCTTATGATAATCCCCAAACTAAAATCACAGATTACTCAATTTTCTATCTAGGGGTAGTGATTTGCTGCTTTTTATTACAGCATGTAGATTAGCCCATGTAGACCTGACCCTGGCTTTTAAATCAACACAAAAACCTTCGCAAGACAGTAAAATCCTGGGTTTTGTTCTGCCTCGCACAGGAACATCCTGGCCTCGATGAAATCGCATGGTGTGCGAGGAACATTGTGTTCTTTGGGCTGAGGTTGAAAATCATAAATCCCTGGAGAGTCCCAGTTTTCCAGACAGACCTATTTACACAGTGAGACTGGCCTCAGTGCCAAGACCTGTCCAGAGAGTAAACAACAAGGGGAGGTAGTAGAGGAACAGCAGACAGATGCAGTTATGTTTATTCTAAGTCAAAGTTCAATCGGTATAGCTTCCTATATTGAAGCTATTGTAATGTGTCCACAAATGGACCCAGCAAGATCATTAATAAATGGTAATAATACATTAGGCTAATATTTTCATCTGATTAAGCCAAAATATGACAAAGAAAGTGGACAGTTACACCAGCAGATAGTTTTCTCCTCATCCAGTTTGGATGAAATGCTGTATGATGAGTAAAATCAATAGAATGTGTCCATTTAGACCACTAGGAAGTTTGGGCTTCAGGTGAATAGATAAAAACACAGACCTTCGCAGTAAAGCCAAATGTATAAAGGTAGTATCTGGCCAGACTATTTAATCAGTTTAAACTGTACAGTTTGTCCAGATGGACCAGTGGCTTATCCATTTCAATCAACAGGATGTTTGTCAGTTAAGTGAAAAGTGTGTTAGACAGAATGGCCTGCTTCTTGTGCAGGGATTAAGACCTGTCCTACAGTAGGCATAGCCCTGTCCACTTAGACTAGGAGAACATTCGCCCTATTAATAAATTGCATCAAATATACAGTTAAAAATATTTTGTAGAACATGGACTTGTATTTGAAATGGTCTGAAGAGGCTCTGTGCTCCAGTTTAACGTCAGTGGATAAGTGCAAGAGTGTCTCAGTGTCACTGACCAAAAGAGTCAGCACATGACCCTGTGTCGAGCAGATGAAATGCAGCCTCACTGTGATGAAAAGTGAAAGAGCATATCTTAAAATGTCACCTGCACTATATCAACCTGTGGTGTTGTCAGGAGTCGAGATTCAAAGCTTCTGGGTTGCATTAACTGACCAAAGACACTAATCCCACAATAAGAATTCAATATTTATGTATTAAAGTACTGGCTGATCCAAAACAGAACCCACTGGTATAAACAAAAAGCTTTATACTGCAGGCTGAGGTATGAGGTGTGTCTATGAGAGAACATCTGACTTCGTTCACCACCAGCCGCAAACCAAAATAAGCAGCATGAGCTTAGTGTGTAGGGCAGGATGTGAAAACACACACTGTTCCTGTCAGCATAGAGAAGACTGGCATGAGCACTGGTTCTTGAGGTCTCAATCACTAATGAAAAATTGTGCATAATCAAACTGCTGGGGAATATGAGCCGGGCTCTCTCTGTGGCACCATAAGGCTTGAAAACACAGGGAGCAGACTGGACCTGCACAGGCAGTTCAATTAAAAGCATCACTCACATTCTACGTCAAGGAAATGTAATATTGTTGCTCGCACTTTAAACTCTCTGTTACATACTGGCTGTTCTTGTAATTCTAATACAGTGGAGTTTAACACTAATGTCGATAATATAAACAAGCAAAATTCAAAGGGGCCTAATTGAAGTAACTGATGTTCTGATGATCTGCCGTTTCAGTCAGTATGTCTCTCCATAAGTTGTCTTTATAAGGCAGTTACATGGTGGAGACCAGACACTTTAATTAATGAACAGTGGCCTGTGGGCCCGACATGTAACTCATCCCATTAAGAATGCAGAGCCTGTGATACAGAGTCATTTGTCTCTTAGAGATAACTTTACTGGCAAAGCTAAAATAAGACCTTAATTTAGACTCTGGCCTCTTTCCCGAAGAGCTGAGGAATAACGATAACTGAAAGTTGACTGAATATGTGCTGAATGTGTGGTCACGTACGTTACTTCAAGTGCAAGTGAAAGAGAGTGCAAAAGTCCAAAATATCAAGGAGCACGCACCTCTGACATGTCTTTAATTAGAATTATCTGCTAATATTAGTTATTTCAGTTTTTTTTTAAAAGTGGGGAGGTTTATAGGTTTGTATCAAAACCCTTGTACAATGTTAAAGATGCCTGTGGTCCAGATAAGTGGAAAATCTAAAAAAAAAAAAAAATTAACTGAAACAGCAGTCCATTAGCAGCTATTCTGGAGTTTTCAGAAATATCACACAGTCTTCCTCAGCTATTATGGAGTTGGAGATCAAGTTCCTTAAGGAATTTGTGTCCATGTTGGCTTAACAGTTGGTACTAAAGTCTCTGTGGAGACTGTGAATATGTGAATATGTTTACAGTATATACAGTATGTGTCCCTGTTCTGCTTGCTCTTGTGCGTGAGCATATTCACGCACACGTACCTAGACATTCCAAACACACTATTCCACTAATCTACAGTGGCAATAATTGGCCGAATTAACACAGCAAAGTGCCATTGAAGGCAGCGAAGAAGACTGATAACTAGTAAATGGAGAATGCATCTCAGTCCCATTAACTGAATCCTAAGTTTCTTCACCTGTGTATTTTCCGTGTGTCTTAGTCTTTCTGTCATTGGAGACAGGAGAAAGGAAATGTGTAAATGTTTTTAGAGAAACAAGCCGTTTCCTCCGAACAGTCGCCTGAAGTAGCATCTGCTTCTGATGACAGTGTTTCAGCTGGATTAGGGCACAGATCAATCAAACCACAGTGTCTACAGCTTCTTCAGGGATCCACAGTATCAACAGTGTGTTTTCCTTTTTTAATGTACAAATATTTTGCAGCTGCGTTTATTGATATTCAGTTTGTAAGCTAATTATTCAACCATCCATGTTATGCTTAGAATGTTTTGCAGAAATGATTTACTGGCCTAAATCTTTTAGACAAATGTAAATAGTGTCAATATATCACATCAAACTATATTTTTAGCTAATGCACAGAGATTTTTAGCAACACATATGGAAATAATGACAGTTCAAGTGTGTTTATTTCTGAGACAAATCACACTTTCCTTCTCTTTGGGGCTGTAACACTAGTCATGATGCAGATTCAGTGGTGGAAATAATAGTACTATAGATCTCAAGGAGAAAAATATTTGAATGTAGTTGTATAATGTGTAGTTTGGTATAAAACTGCTGTGATGTTGTGATATAGTATCAGATCAGTTTGAACAACTGCAGTATCCAATCACTAATCCCAATGAGTATGTGTGTGAGGTCATTAAAACTTGTCTGTGAAGGATGGTCTCATATGTCCTCGCTCATGGCTCCTCAGTTATTCAACCTTGCTCCTCAGAGCAGAAACAAGAGCTCTGAGACAGCCTTCAAAATGAAGGACCAGAACCCATTGATTTAAACAGTGCTGATTTTTTATTTTTAAAATGAAAAATCTGCTTTGCATAGGTTATATGAGGGAGGAAGGGCACTCAACACTTATGTAAGACATAGAGGAATATGCAGTTTGTTTTGATGAGAAAGACAATGTAAACTGAAGTGGTCAGCAAGGTCCATAAGTAGTAGGGCCATCAGTCCTGGAGCTTTCAGTCATATTCCACCATCTCCCATCTGGCATTCACAAGTTCAAGAATGAAGTTTTAATCTCAAGTTTTAAGCCAGTGCAGACAAGAATTCCTTAAAATGCTCAGAAAATGGAAATGCACACGTATACCTCTGTACATTGACCCTAACATAAAGCCAGTCTCTCTCAGAGTGCACACCATAGACATGTAACAAAACATCTGGTGCTACAATAATACTATTAAAAATATGAAGACCCATTAAACAAACAAACACTAATCAAAATCTTGCAGCATTCATTTGTTGTTGATGTTTCTTTTCAATTAACAAGTCTCATTATCAGGCCTCTAAAGTTTCTAGTAGTAGAGTCATGTGGTTCAAGTGTTTACTTGCTTGTGCAGTTGTTTTTGTAAATATACAGTCCTACAAATTATATATATATATATGTATATTTTCTCATGTCAAATGATAAAAAACAACCCAAAGCTGTTTAGTAATTAAAGGAGCTAAATATAGTAGAATATGTAATGTTTTATCTTGCATGCACAGGATCTAGCATATACAGTACATGCACTTAAAACCCTAAACTCTGCTATACTGTAAGTCATGAACATCTGTACCTGAACTCTGTCCTTTTGTCCACTTCACCTCACACCTTGTCATCTTCTGTCCCCCTCCTGTCCTCTCCTCTTTCCTCCTGTATCCTCTTCCATCATTTTTGTTTCGACATCCTCTGCCTCCACTCTACTGTGCCCTGTCCTCTCTTCTCTGCCCCCCATCCCCATCAATGGTGGTGGCTGACAGTGACTTTGCATCCAAAATGAAAAACAGGCAGATGGGCTCATCGGGTGGGATAAACATGACCAAGAGCACAAGCATCAGCGGCGACATGTGTAACATGGAGAAGACGGATGGCAGTCAGTCGGACACGGCGGTTGGCACGGTAGGCACTGACGACAAGAAGAGGCGCTCCAGCATTGGTGCCAAAATGCAGGCCATGGTTAGCATTTCGCGCAAGAGCCGGAGCACCTCCCAGCTCAGCCAAACAGGTAGGGCACCCAGATGCACATCCAGTGTTAACCTATGTGTGTTCTTCTCTGCATCTGTCCTGTCACCTCTTGTTATGTGTGTCTGGGTTCCTCTGTTGTTTCCTCTGCTGAATGTCCTAATCTCCTCTCTCTCCAGTTCTTCCAGTTCCCCACTTTTTTTTTTTTATCTAGGAAGGGCTCTGGACTCAGCTGAATCATTTTCTGGAGGTGAAGACAGTAGCACAACTTTTTCTCACACTTTCCCTCTTTCTTCTAGGTAATGACTCGACTTTTCCCTATCAACCTCCCCCTTGTTTTCTTTTCTATCACACTGCTACAGCTGGGTTTCCATACACAATGCTGTTTTATTGTGGTTTTGTGGTATTAATTTGTCTTGAAACGGTTGCAGCTGTCACAACTTTGTACCTCTGCCACTAATGACCTCAGCTGCTTGTAGCAGGTCACATTTTGTGATTTGTGAGGTGTAAAATGCTACCCCAGACTGTGGGCATCTACAGTTGTTTGTTTCTTTGAGTGCATGTGAGTGCACAGGCAAGGCACAGACACAAGGGCTGTATTGTGTTGGTGTTTTCAAACCTATTTTCCTTCACATAAATGCATGTATTTTTCTGCAGTGAAAAGATGCTGCTATTACTTCTCTTCTCTCTTCAGTGTCTTTTTTCTATCCTACTTTCTTTTCAAAGTGCTTCATAGCCATTTGAGAGGGGTTGAGCTGCTCTCTCTGGTGGCACACAGTGTGAAAAACAGCCTACAATAGCAGCTGGTGTGCGGTGAGGTCTCTGGCTGACAACTTGGTGTTTGCTTTGTTCAGGTGAAGGTCCGTCGATTTGTCTGTTTCCCCTCTGCAGCCACAGCTGTCCAGTGCACCTCTAAGCATTCAGTGCCTATTCATCTCATCTGTCCGGTTAATAATCACTTCAACACATCAGCACTTTCTGTCCAGATCTGTTTAGATAGCATGGCAGAGGGATACATGGAGACAGGGGTGTACGGTGAGGTGAGATCAGTGAGTGTGGAGCGAGGCAGTGCTGCTCACGTGTTACCGCTCTGCCCCCCTGGCTCGTGATGTGACTGGCACATGGGCTGCTACTGTAAGTGATGCGCATGGATTAATAGTTCTGCTAATTATTAATCACATTAATATGTTAATCAGCAATTAAATAAGGCTTTATTTAATACATGGCTGCCAGAATAAAAGAAAGCTTGTTCCCTGGTCATCAAGTGCATTATAAAACAGTTCTCTTTGTCATCTCTGTGTGCTGTTCACTACTAGCGGTGGTTATACACATCTTGAACAGTTTTACACAATCACACTAACAAAGTTACACAAACACACACACACACGGAACAGAAACGGAGCAGCCTGAATCTCCTAGAGCTATTAATATTTCACTCAGGTCTTAGTGCATCAGATGCAGTTTGTCAGCGCGAGCTTACATGCACCTTTCAAGATTTGAGATCTGTATTTGGGCAGCACACTGCCAAGCTCTCTTCTGCCCTACTTTGTTGCTGTGCGCTGTCCTCAGAGGCTCAACTCCTGCTTTACGCATGCATACAAAGAACTGTCAATTTTAAGAGGCTGCTCAAAGGTTTGTGTGTGCTTGCACTGCCAAGTGCTGGTGGGGTTGGGGCAGATCAGCCAAACAGCACAACTCTGCCTGTGACAAACACTGTTTAGTCAGATGGAATGGATGTGCTTAATCTTAGAAGCAATCTCCATTCTCCATCTGAAAAACAGGTCCTGATGCTGTTTTGCTGTTCACTACTACATTTTCACCAAAGGCTGTTTGGTACCTGCTGAATGCACACATCTGTAGCCGGACATGTGCCGTGAAGTCTACACTCTCTTGTCTATTGTTTGCCAGTACCAGGTCCTGTTATGGACTTAGGTACAAAGCAAGCTTAATCACTGCAGTTAGCTGAACCTTTATGCAGAGCGATAAACATATTTATATTCGCTGAAAAATCAAGTGCTTTCCATTAACCAGCAGTTCTGCAACTGTGTAGACACTACTCATGGCAGCCTCCTTTAAAAGATTAATTGTACACAAGTATGAGGATCTGGTTTGATGAAGCAGTTTGTCATGAGGCTGAGCACAGTAGCACACGTGTGATAAAGACGGCAACCATATGTTCAAGAAATTATTTTAACCACTAATAAGTTACAGTAGATATTGGTTTTTAGAAGATGAAATGAAATGATTGAAAATGTGGTTGCTTAGCAAATAGAAAAGTGTCATAGTCAGGTCTAAGGTTGAATTTGAATTAGAAAAATAATTCTCATACATGTGCTCATGTGGGGGTTTTATTGGCATTACACTGGTCATCATGAGCAAGTTGACACATCAAGTTGATTTATTCTGCTGTTTTTTACCATCCACCACTCAGCAGTGGTCCGATCCTCGATATGCTATGGTTCACACTCCGTAACAGTCCAGTTTAGTCCCCATTTAGTTTTAGCTGACTCAGCTAAAACCATACAGTAATACTCAGATGTTGCAAGATTTTTGACAACAGTTGTTATTCATTTATCTGTGCAATTTGTCATATCCCTTCTGACAGGCTTATGATAAAAGATGAGGGTTTTTTTGTTTTAGTTTTTGTTTTGTTTTCCTGTACTTGCAGTGCATTTACTACATCACCTGTACTACATACTCTCACTGGGTGGGCTGTTAGAAAATGTATGTAGATGGAAACCTGCTGTTCACATTATCATTTCAGTTTGTGAACTGTGAACTGCTGTGGTGCGTTGTTATCTTATGCTAATTACAGAGGCTTAGTGGTTTTCATTTTATATAAACATTGTATTGTTTACTTCCAGAATTTGAGACACACATACATACACAATTATTATTTTTCAATCTGTTATAAACACACAGAGGTCAAATTCTACCTAAAATGTCGCAAAGACATTTTTTTATCTTTCGAAGCATCAGTTGCTTACAACATGGTTTATGAACTGATGAGCATTACCGCCTGTGCAGTCGTCATACTTGTGGCGTACCTTCAGGATGTTGGCTGGTAGATCACCAGACACTAAATATGTCTGTGGACACATGCAGTCTGCAGCATCACTAATGGTTTGGGATTGTAGTACAGAGGAGGATTTGTTGTTGCTCTTCACTGTGCAGGCCACTCTGCTCTGTGCCTTTATGTGAGTAATTCAGGACTATTAGAGATCTCTTTGTAGCAACAATGCTGATTCTCTTTTCCTTTTGTCCAGTAGTGTAACAGGAAGGCAGCTCTTTCAGTCACGTTTTTCTTTGCTTTGTTTGCATTATGAATGGAAAAGTAATAAGAAATCCTTTTTTCTACCATTTTTACACCAGCATTCTAGTAGTGCTCTACTCATTAATCCATGTCTATGATTTTACTCCATTATGGCGTCAGTCTAAGAGAATTAATGGTGTCCCAGAAACATTATTAAGAGCAAGCTTTACAGCTCAGCACCAGCCTCTGATGGTTGAGGAGGCAAACAGTGCAGGAAATACAGGGCAAATAGGCAAAACCAGGTGAGACTTCCCACTGTGATACAGCAATAAGAAAAAGATCAGATCAGTGGGGATGACTCTGTGTACGTGACATAATACACTGTTAGTCACATCTAGTTTCCTGTTCCCCTTGGTGCACCTTTGTATATTTTATAATTCTTATGTCCTACTTTTCCCGACTTGACCCTGAAACACACTCACTATTTGAACCACGTGTGACACTTTGAGTTTTAAAATGTATCTGTGAGAGATGTATTAAAATCTTCAGTCACTTGCTTTTGTGTTTTTTCAATGGAGGTGTTGCTTCATGCATTAGTATTGCCTGTAATACTAACCTGTACACCAGCTGTCACATCAAATCAAAATTGTGAGGGCGGCTGTGGCTCAGGAGGTAGAGCAGGTCGTCTCCTAACCGGAAGTTTAGCGGTTTGATTCCCGGCTTGTCCAGTCCACATATTGAAGACACTGAACCCCCAGTTGCTACTGATGATGTCACCACTGTGTGAATGTGTGTGCACTTGGGAGTGCAAATGGGTGAATGGCCAAATAGTGTGAAAGTGCTTTGTGTGTGCTGTAATGCATAGAAAAGCGCTATACAAGTATAAGACCATTGATGATAAGTGCTAGGTAACTGTTTATCCGTTCAGTATGTTATGCAGATATTCAGACTAAGATTAGAAGTTCACTAAGAGTTAAATCTTCGCACAGTAAAAAAGAGAGAGATGCACTGTATACCAGCTTACTCACTATACCCAGAATACTGTATGTATGCAGCAGAGATAACAATGCATTGACTGCCCCCACCCCCAACTGCTCTCTCAACTACACCAGATACTAATGTAGGCTTGGACCCCTAAAGTCATCAGACAGACTGTTTTGTATGAGGTAAAATAGCTGAACTTTGAGCTTTCAGCCAAAGTCATTTATCTTGTGTGTGGAGCTGGGTGCCTGTCTCAGCAGCTCCTCCACCAGCTAAAACCATTAATTAATCTCTCAGGGGGCCCAAACAGACTTGCTGTTCTCAGGACGATGCATGAAAGGAACACGGCAGCACAGGTACAACCAAGGCTGAGGGACACTAGCACCACACTGCTGTCTACAGATCCATCTTATAACCTGACTTAGTCTCTTATTGCCTCCTACAGTATGTGATCTACAGTACAGGCCATGGTTAGCATTAGGCTAATATTGCACAGTATCTCCCCAGTGTATATATATATATATATATTCAGGTTATAAGAGGGATCTGTAGACAGCAGTGTGGTGCTAGTGTCCCTCAGCCTTGGTTGTACCTGTGCTGCCATGTTCCTTTCATGCATTGTCCTGATGCATATATATATATGTATGTCCTTTTTGTCTAATCTTTGTTCGTCATTGAACCTTCTCTTCTCATCTTTACTTCTCCCACTAGCTTTACATTGTCTTTTTCTATCCGTTTTCCCCACTGCTATTGCTTTTCTAGTTTTCTCTCTCTATCTCCATTAAAACAATCCACACAAGGACTCATAC